ATCGGAAGTTCATATTTTGCCGTCTCGCTCACCTTAATGTTATGGGTTAGGTGGTAGTGAACAAAAAATACATAACTTCCCCTAAGTTACGTATTTTTTGTAAGCCTTAACAAGAGGAAGAAGAGTTGTTTGAAATTTGTGTCAATTTTCTTTGGTCTGTTTTGTAATAGAGTGAAATTAATATATTAATCAGGTTATTTTTACAAAAAATTAGAAAGAGAGAGACCGAAGCTTATTAATGATATCATCTCTTGAACATGACCTTTTGTAATCATCTGCATATTATTAATAATCGCAGTCACCCATCCCAAAACCAACCAATCGTAAACAACCTGCATATGATTAATAATCGCGGTCACTCATCCCAAACTCAACCAATCGTATACAACCTGCATATTATTAATAATCGCGGTCACCCATCCCAAACTCAACCAATCGTAAACAACCTGCATATTATTAATAATCGCTGTCACCCATCCCAAACCCAACCAATCGTAAACAACCTGCATATTCATAATCGTGGTCATCCATCCTTAACCTGACCAATTATAAACACCCTGCACTTTCAGAATATGGAAAAAATAATTACACCGCGACTATCATATAATCATTATTCTTGATAAATATTGAAGAAACGTGAATGCAAGTAAGATCAATCGTAAGATGATGATGATGAATTTGATGATTGAAAGAACAGCAGTCACGTCTTTAGGGGCGTAGCCTAACAGTTTTTGTTATCAAAAAACAGGCACTCTGGACTCCACACCAGTCAGAGTCTTGGGACAACCTCCTTACAGTCTTGATTTGGCTCCAAGTCACATGAATCTTATTATTCCCTAAAAAAAATCTGCTCAAAGGTATACAGTTTTCATCGCCGAAAGAAAATGTTTTAAAAATTGGTTCCGATGCATGAAACTTTGTATAGAGGCTGGTGGAGATTTCTTTGAAAAGATTTAATATAAATATTTTTTTTCATAGAAGTTAGTATTTTAGTTTCTCAAAACTTTCAGAGTGTCCAACATATATATCTTGTCTTTTTACCTCTACCGAGCCGCCCGCGCCGATCTCCAGTTCGGTTTCTTAGGTCATCGAATGCGTTTTTCAAATTGCATATTTGCGATTTTTTATTGTTTTCTATGATTATTTTGTGAACGTGATAGTGTGTTAGAAGATGCCTAACCATACGTATACTACTCGTGAGTACGTAAACATGGTTCTCTGTTACAGGAGAACACGTGGAAACTCTTCTGAAGCTCTGCGGCTGTATCGGGCTGAATATCCCACGGCGCATCACCCGGGTGATGCACGTATTTTTGTTTGGGATGTACAACGTTTGCTGGTCAATCAGCCTATGGTGCCACTTTCGGAGGGCGGGCGCGGGCAAATACGACCTGCGGCGGAACAAGCCGTTTTAGATGTGATGAGGGAAAACCCACGTTTAGGCGTTCCAACGGCAGCTAGGCTTCTGCGTAGAAGGCATGGCCATCGCGCTCGATATGTAGTGTCCTATACCACCGAGCATAGAGTGTTAAGAAGGGACCGGTAAAGGTCGTATAAAATCCACCGCGTGCAAGCACTGGTACCAGGCGATGCCCACCGCCGCATGGCATATTGTCCATGGCTGTTGAGACAAGACCGAGGTTTTATTCGACACATTATTTTTACAGATGAAAGTACTTTCACAAATAATGGCATATGGAACCGTTGAAATGCTCACTACTGGTCTGCAGAAAATCCCAACCAGACTCAAGAAACGGGCTTCACGGCGCGGTGGAAGCACAACGTATGGGCAGGTATTGTGGGGAATCGGATCCTCGGTCCCGTGTTTTTGCCGCTTAGAGTAGACGGGGCCGCCTATTTAAATTTAAGTAACAGCTATTTGTCAGAGACCTTAGACGACATGCCGCTGGCCGAGTTGTTGGAGACTTGGTACCAGCACGATGGTGCCGCGGCGCGCCGCCTCGCCTCGTAAGGCCAGTTCGGTAGCGGCTGACGGAGCTATTCGGAGACCATTCGATCGGCAGAAATGGGCCGCATGCATGGCCAGCGCGTTCGCCTGATTTGACGCCTTTGGATTTTTTCCTGTGGGGTTTTGTCAAAGACCGTGTTTTTGACCGCCCCTGTCAGACTAGTGGTCAAAGGCGTCAAAAAAATATTGGCGTATTTGAAGAACTAAAGTATCGGTGTACAGACCGGGAAGGAATACTGGAGCGCGTCTATCAAAATACGCTGTTCGGGGCACGCGTTTGCTTGCATGTGGAAGGTCGTCAGTTCGAGCCACAACTAATCCGATTGGAGCGGCCGATTCCGGATGCGGTCGAATGGTCGGTAAGTAATAGTACTTACCTAGCTCTAAATCTAAACAAATTCCATAAGGGCTATTTTTAAATGTAGGAACTTTGGAAATAAATAATCAGGTAATTTTGTGTACATAATACTCTCGCTGTCACGGTAGTGGAGAAGCGCGTGCTATCGACGCACTTATACACACGCACTCACATACAAATTCTTTGCGTAGCGCACATTAGCGCGGCGTTTATACATTGCGAACTGGAAAAAAAAGTGTTTTTCTTACTTAAAAATACAAATGATTATAATACTTTGTAATATCACTTGTTTGGGTGTACAGAATGCGTAGTTTTAGACTGTCATAGGATTTTTTACAACCTGTGTAAATACAGCTGCAACTTTAGGTCACCTAAATATGTGCGCTGGGTAAACGGTTAAAGTTACACAAAAATCATGTATGACGGAATTCTTTCCCTTTAAAAGTTCTGTAAAAAAACCCACGACAGCCAATGGTTATATTTTAAGTTTGATTCACAATAACCCTTTTTTCAAATTAACGCGGGTGAAATCGCAGGGGACCTCTAGTTGTGACAAAACTCTAATATGTTTTTATTTATTTTTTAAGCATTTAACTGCTAGATGTTTAAATCTAAAGAAAAGTTTACTAGAAAAAAAAAAAACTTTTTTTTTAAACTCTAATATTTAGACATATTTTCGGCGCCTGCGACGCGCGAGATGAATATTACTATGTGGGTCATTCGCTATTCAACCATTGACGAGGACAACCGCATAGATTTTACTGAAGAAAAAACACCTCGGAGATGGATACCACAGCTGATGAAACCGCTCAAGTGGTTGCACTACTGCAATCAGGGATGCGGCAGTGTGATGTTGCCCGGAAACTGAACCTGAGCCGTTTTTCCGTTCGAAGAGTATACCAGCGCTTCATAGAGACTGGTGGCTGTATCCGGAGACATGGATGCGGTAGACGTCGCCGCACTTCAGAAAGAGACGACCGGTTCATTCTGTTGAACTCTTTGAGAAATCGTTTCTCTAACGCTGTTGAGTTGCAACAGCAGCAGTTCGCAGAAGAACCGTGAGCGTCTCTACGGTTAGAAGAAGACTGAAGGAGAAAAAGATAGCGGCCCACAGCTGCTACGGGTCCGAAATTGACAGTAGCGCGATCGGCGAGCCCGCTTACAGTTTGCTCGTGACCACGTCGATTGGACCCTTGAGCGGTGGAGAGCTGTTCTCTTCTCAGACGAGACGCGAGTCTGTCTTTTCTGACAACGACCTAAGGAGAAGAGTATACCGAAGGCAGGGTTTTGCGGAAGCCTGCATCCAGGAGACGGTGGAATATGGATCCTGCATGTTCTGGGGCGGTATGTCGGCTGTCGGCAAAACCAACCTTGTCTGCGTCTCACACTGCAGCTATAGTGCGTGACTTCTTACAGAGGTCCTAAATCTCTGTGATGCAGTGGCCAGCGAGAAGTCCGGACCTGAATCCGATAGAGCAGCTCTGGGATCATCTTAAACGCAAGGAGCTCCAAGACGCGGTGATTGAAGAATGGGGGCTTCTCCCTCAAGAAGACCTCCTGAAGTTGGTCAGGTCTATAAGGGAGCTGTCATCAGGGCTAGGGGGGGTAACACTAGATTTTAAGTTAATTTTAAGATACATTTTGTACATTTTTCTTTGTAAAGTATTTGTTGCTAATTAGGACTTAATTAGGGGTTTTTACTATTTTTTTAATTTTAATATTGTTTGTATAATTTTAATTAAATAAAAAGTCATATTTAATGGTTTTTTGATTCTCCCTTTTGTTACCTTTCTAATGATACACAACGCTATTCTCTAAATAATGGAGGCCATACACACTAGGTTTTGCATGATGGTTATGCATGTGCATGCATAACCGACATGCATAACCGAGTTTCATATTGCACATACACGTTAGGGTTTGCATGTACAGTTTTGCCATATTGCCATTACTCTCAGTTGAGCTACGTGACGGTGTGTGTAGAACGCCTATTAAGTACTGTGAATGGAATATTTTTTTTAATCACATCTTCTTTCGTAGCTGTGGGCACTAATTCCTTGACCTTAGTTATCAATCTCTGGTATTCTTTGCACTTTACGCCAAAGACAAGGTTCCGACTTATAACTTTCTATAAATTCTTATAATGTTGCATTGCGCTTGCGACTAGCCATTTTCGAAACGACGCGATGGTGCTCGGACCTTCCGCCGCCGTCGCAACAATTAAAAACTGAGAACTGTGACAGGCAAGCTCGCCGGACGCCACACACGCTCGGTTATGCATGCGCATGCATGTTGATGTTAGTTATAGTTTTATATTTTAAACATTCAATTGCTAGATGTTTAATTCTGTTTCTAGTAAAATTTGCTTTACATTTAATTATCTAGCAGTGAAATGTATAAACTTAACAAATACTATTTTTCTTACAAATGTTTAATACCTGTTAAGGTATTCGTTTGTCATTGTAGGTGCTGCAATGCTAAGAGATGCGCTGCCTTGCACCCTATGAAATACTAGAGGTAATGCGACGCGGCCATTAGTATCGCGGTAGCATAATTGGCCATTGCGAATAGTGCGATTTTGAGTCCCGTCTGTTGCCTGGTCCTAGTGGATTTTTTTCTATTAAAATTTTCTTTATTTGATGTTAATTTTGCATACATAATTATTTGTTCCAGTGCTTTGAGAGACGCTGAGGAAAAGGATAAGATATGCCGTGACAGGTCCAAAAAAGCCACGCAAAGAACCGAAGAAATCAAGCAACTGACCGCCAAGTATGAACAAGAGAAGCATATGGGAATGGAGGAATTAGCCAAAATCCAAAACGACTTCACTAAAGATGTAAGATTTCTAAAACAATAAAAAAAAACGCAATAGAACTTTGAGTATTTTGAACTTTATGCTTATACTTGAAGAGCCTGTGACGTCTGCTTTATATTAGTTTTTAGAGAATCCCATAAGAACATGTTTTTTTTTCCTGGCAAAAGTGTCCTATATCTCAATCCAGGTAATAGCTATAATATGGTGACGATTCTGGCACCATACTCTAAACCTAAACTTAAAATTTACAACAGTGTATCCTTCTTACAGAATGAAAAGGAGAGATTGATGTTAAGTTTAGTTCTAAGTTTAGAGAATCGTACCAGAATCAACACCTATGTCTTGTATGCCAAATTTTATCCAAATCTGTCCAGCCGTTTTTTCGTGATTGAATAAAAAATATACACTTGCATATTTATAATAGCCTAGGATAGGATTAGTTGTGTGTGTTCAAGTTATGCCGGCACTTCACCTGACTGTTCGGAATTGCCATTTGTCATTTGGCAGCAGGTTATCCTTGTCATGCTCTATAGGGCACAAAAAGGAAAGACTAGTCATGTTTACAAATAGCAAAAACGAATAGCCAAGTGAAGTGACGAATAGCGCAAAAGACTGAGTCATCAAAAAAAATGTAATTTCTCAATTTTATTTATGTAATTAATTACAAAGTTGTTCTCTTTCAATGAGGTTTTACAATTTTATTTAACGGTTTTTATTTCAGCTGAAAAATATGGAGGATGCTTTATTGAAGAAGGTGACTGAAGCCAAAAGAAGGATAGAAGATAAATTAAGAAATAAAAATTTTTGAATTGATTTGCAAAAAACCTTGTATTTTATTTTCATTTTTTAAATATTCGTTGTGGTTGAATAGTGAAGCAATTAAGTTACGTATTTGAAAGCAGTCTTACACTTTTTATTTTAACAAATAATATATAAACAAACACAAAGCAAACTAAGGACAGACTTAGTTATTTGATAATAAACAATAATAAGTCTTGGGAGTGAAAGATAAGTAAAAAAAATGTGTCAGTAATTCAGTATCACTTTAAGTTAGAACATGCTGATAATCTCTGACTTAAGTGTATAGATAAAAGTCCCCAACCAAAATAAACATCAACGAATTGACTGCATGATCTTCAAAGGACATGCCGACAGTTAGAACTGATAAGAACTTACCCATTTTTTTTCTGAAACAATTAAAACAAACGTTAAGCTGTGTTTAAACTGATGACGAGTGTGGTAACCCCCTCTCTCAGAAAGAATTCGTTTTCATCACGAGTTTTTAATTTTAAGCTTGTATTCATAGGTCTCTGTAGCGCTCGTTTACAATCATTAACCTAGCGCCATCTAGTAAGCGCGCGGTCTAAATGGTGATGTGTAAATAAATAAATATTTCCAACTCGCACACCAATTAGCCTAGCCTCAAAGTAAGCACTGTAAGGCTTATGATAAGGGATGCTAGGGTAACGGATAGACTATATGACATTTTCATATTTGCGCAAAAGACAAAAAAACTTTAGAGGCACAGCGTTATAGGGATTTTATGTACCATGCTGAATTTAATATAAAAAGTAACGCCAAACATTTCTGGGCCTTTGTTAAGTCTAAACAAGCATCATTCACCAGGGATGGATTACCAGGAACAATGTATTATGAAAGTAATAGTGTACTGACGGCGGCTCAATAGTCGATTCGTTCAATAGATATTTTCAATCAGCTTTTTTACCAAATGGTAACCACCAATAGTCGTTGTAACTACTCCTGTCCGGAGACACAGTCTTACTTGAATATTTACTCAATCAACATTGACACACAGAGAGTAGCTAGTCTTCTTAAAAACCTTGATCCAAGTAAGGGTTGTGGCCCGGACGGGAGGGATTTGTTTCTTAGGTCATGTTGGGAGCAGCTTTGTTACCCTATAACGGTCCTTTTTAATAAATCTCTACAAAAGTGTTCTGTTCCCCTTTTTTGGAAAAAATCTTTATAAACGCCTGTTTACAAGGTAAGGGTGATAAGTACGATGTTAAATAGCCCGCATAAATACTGCTTATCGGACCCCAAGCACTTAAGAGTTACAGGCCAGTTTCCAAACTTTCTATGATACCGAAACTTTTCGAAAAGGTAATACACGAGTCACGACACACTATTTCCTTTTTTTCGGCCAATGATAAATACTTTTTAGCATGGTTTTATTAATAATAATAATAATCATTTATTTGCCAAAATATGGTAACAATAGTTGGTAGTTCTTTAGTTTCCAGCATATTTTGTTGAATGTCAACGTGCAAATATTACAGATTATGAAAGATAATTACATTAATGTGGTTCAGTGACGTCAAAATAAATAAAATTAATTTAAAGATAATAGTAATATGCAATGTCACAAAAAAAGGTACTACTAATCTATTCATAATTAAAAGTCAGGAAAAATTGCATCAATATTGAATTAAAATGTCAGAAAATTACATATATTTATCATTCACATATTTTATTCTATGCGGACTATATATATATAATGTGTACTATTAACAAACGCTCCACAGAAAGTAACAAATGGATTTCGTGTATACCGACTATTCGAAAGCCTTCGACAAGCTGCCCCATTATTTACTCATTTCAAGGTTAAAAACAGTTGGTATTCATGGCGATCTTCTCCGATGGTTGGCGTTGTATCTGCGGGAACGTAGTCAGGCTGTGGCAATAAAGGGTTACTGTTCCACTTTTGTTCCCTAAACCTCAGGTGTGCCCCAGGGCTCTCACCTTGGTCCCCTTCTATTTAACGTGCTTATTAATGATATAAAGAACTATATACACAGCTCTAACTTACTGCTCTACGCAGATGATATGAAAATTATAAAGTTTATCAAATCCATAGAAGATTGTAAATTGTTACAACAAGATTTGAACAACTTGAAAAACTATTGCAATCATAACACACTTAAATTGAACACAGATAAATGTTCAGTAAATACTTTTACCCGGAAGGATGCCAATTGAATATAACTATAAATTGACTAATTCTATTCTCATAAAAAAGACCGAGATGAGTGAACCTTGGGGTAGTCATTGATGACAAACTTCTTTTCAGTAACCATATTAGCAATAGTGTTGCAAAATCGTATAGAATGCTAGGTTTCATCATGCGTATTGGAAAGGAATTCCGTTGCGCATCTACTTTGATAATACTGTATAATGCATTTGTGAGACCACACCTAGAATATGCCTCTTGTGTATGGAATCCACAATATAATACATACATTAATGCTATTGAAAGAATTCAACACAAATTTGTAATGTACTTAGAAAACAGAATTAATAATGATTGTGAAACAAAGTTACAGGCAACATAGCAGAACTGTTATTTCTTTACAAACTTATTAGGGACCTTGTAGATTCGCCGTTCCTTTTGCAGAGGATTGGTTTCCGTTGTCTTATTAGAACTAAGTCTGACAACACGTTTGTAATACAATTCAGCAGGACCAAGTTTGCTGCAAATAATTTTATTTCTAGAGCATGTCGCAGCTATAATAAATACTTCAAGGGATTGGATATATTTTGCCTTTCTTACAATCAATTTAGAAATGAATGCTATAGGGGCGTTTTACCTTAACACTCAGTAATTATTTTCTTACCATAAATTTTGATTATCATGTTTATTCTATTCACATAACTCTAAATATTGTACGTAACTTTAAGTAAATTATGTAAGTGTATGAATGTTTCAGTCTGTGGAAACTTAAGTAACTGGTTTATAGAAAAGTTATAAATGTTACTGAATTGAATTCTGTAAAACTGTATGTTTCCCAAATGAAAATAAATAAATACATATACTGTACATGTATAAGTATATTTATATAGAAATACTGATTGAACATCCATGACTGAAGCACAAATGCTCGTATTCATCACACAAACATCTGCCCCCACCTGGCGACACCATGAAACCCGGCGTAAAAACCACTCTGCCACGGAGGTCGTCACGTTAGGTACGTTACGAGTAACGCACGGCGCTCTCTGAGGCGCTGTATGCGCTGTATGCGGCGCATGTACCCACCTAAGCGACGTGATAGAAACCTGATTTTCTACCAGTGTTAAGCATGACTGGCATGACATTTAATAAACCCACCAGAGTCATATGCCAGAGAGATGTCAGAGTGCAAAAGCACTCGAGGCAATGTGCTGTCGTCCTCTGACGAAGATCAAAATGCTCATGCATATTAATTATTAAAAATGGACAAAGACGCTCCTGGGTGCATTCCATGTGGAAAAAAAGTTAAAAGACAGGTGCTTTTAATTAAGTTATTTAGTTATGACACATTGACCATTATTACACGGTCTTCTTAAAAAAATTCAATAAATTTTATATGAAATTTTAAACCGTCCATCATTTTATTTATTTATTTAATCTTTATTGCCTTCACAATGTAAATGGCGGACTTAATATCAATATGGCATTCTCTACCAGTCAACCGAAAAGAAGGTGCAGAAAAAATTAAACAGACAATGAACAGAACATCAAACAATGATAAAAACTAAATTAAATAACGTTAATTACATATACCTATACATACATACTTAAATATATACATATCCATCAGTGATGTTGATTCTGGCATGATTCTCTAAAGCTAAACTTAAATTTGACAACAGTGCATCCTTGTCCTTCTCTATACAGAATGAAAAGGTGAGACTGATATTAAATTTAGTTTAGAGAATCACGCCAGAATCGACACCAGTGTCTGATTATCTCTTATCTATTAGACAAGTCCGTCCGTCCGTCCGTGGTGCTGTTTCAGCGGCCAAACCGTAAGAGATAGATAAAGAGAATGTTTAAGTTATAAGTTGAGAATAGTCTGATAAGACTACAAACCGGATGTGAGTAACGTAGCACTTCCGGTTTTCGAGAAATCACGTGATTTCTATTTCAAACGAAACCACACAAAATCTCCGAAGTTCTCAATTAATTAAATTTTTTTTTTTGGTGAACATTTGGTTCACTGGTTTGCTAGTAGTATTCTAATTCATACCGCTGCTCTCAAGTGCAACGCACACCCTGCATGCACTATAGGTAAATGAGGTAAAGAGACTCCGCCTCTGAGATAAATTATGTTATAAAAGGTATAACAGTTAAAACCAATGAAAGATAGAATACCTTACTTGATTATTAAGTCCATAGGCACATAGGAATGGATGTAACCACAGTACACAGAAAGAGATTAGGAGGGTGACCATATACCGTTTGTATGGGAACCGATGTAGCCGGCTCACCCCCACTACACCTCCACCTGATAGATAATAGCCAATCGCACGACGTGACATCAGAAAACCGAACCAATCAGCGCTTACAACCGAGAACAACGACGCAATCAGAAAAAGGTTTTTTCATCCCACCACCTCGGAAAGTGTAATTTTGCGCTTCGAAATCTGGCTGGAAAATTCTATTTTATTCGCTTGAGCGGCAAAGTAGATTTGAATTTAGAACATCACATATAATGAGTACTCAATATAATTGTAAATTCAAAACGTCATTAAACCTATTTAATGTAACCTCTATGGTGACAAATTTATGATTAGAACTTTTTAAATTGTGAAAAAATTTAAATTTGGAACCTTCTTGGTTTCTTTGTTTTATTTGCGTGCTTCGCGCCATTCTAGTTTTTCACGTTTTATTGCTTAATATAATTAACATAACCTAAAAACTGTACAAAAAAATCAACTAAAATGAGTGACATTAGCGACGATGAAGTTTATCTAACGCCAACTGAGTTAACTGAAACAGTTAATAATGCGCAAATGAGCCTTCTCCCTCAGCAATCACGAGAGAAGTATTTGAAACAGTACGATATATTTAACATGTGGCGACTAGCTAAAGGAGCAAAAACTTTCTCCGAAAACGTTTTGCTGGCATATTTTATAGAATTATCTGAGACCAAGAAAACAAGCACGCTATGGAGTACGTATTCAATGCTAAAATTAACAATTAAGATGAAGAAAGACGTTCATATCGACACCTATCATAAATTAGTGGCATTTTTAAAAAGAGCCTCATCTGGTTATAAACCAAAAAAATCGAAGGTTTTCACAGCATCTGAAATTGCAAAGTTTATTAATGAAGCACCTGATTCCGTATATTTAGCGGCAAAAGTAAGTCAATACGTGTAATTTTTTGTTGTTGATAAAATTGTACATAGTACTTACAATATTTTTAATTTGATTAATTTATTTACGATTATAAATACTTCTTTTGTTACAGGTTGTTCTTATTATTGGTATAACCGGAGCATGTCGAACAAATGAACTTACACTACTTAATGTCAATAACGTATCAAAATATTCTCATAATTCTGATGAATTGCTATTAATTAATGTACTAAATACCAAGACAAAAAAAGACCGCAACTTCGTTATTCGCAAGGAATATGTAAACATTGTTCAGAAATATCAAGCTTTACGTCCTTCTAACACCCCAATTGAACGATTTTTTCTACAATATCGCAACGGAAAGTGTATCCGACAACCTATGGGTCAGAATAAAATTGGCAGTATTCCACGAGAAATAGCAACTTTTCTCGGACTTTTAGAACCCCCGTTATACACCGGTCACTGTTTTAGAAGAACCTCAGCCACACTTTTGGCCGAATCAGGGGCTGATCTTCTATCGCTTAAGCGCCATGGAGGCTGGAAGTCTAATTCGGTTGTAGAGGGATACATAGAGGATTCAATCCAAAGTAAATCAAAAATTTGTAATAGTATCGTGGAGGCCATAACGCTGAAAGAACCTCTGTCAGATTCTTGGTCTCGCCCTTCTACATCTAAAATGAGCCCCCATAAGATTGGAAACAATAGCCCTCTCTCGCCAACATTTACGCCAATAGAATCCAATGAATCGGCACAACTATTTAAAATTACTGATACGAGTAGTTTACCACAAAACAGCGCACAATTCACAAACACCAACATAACATTACCTAACAAAAATATTAAACTTAACATAAGTAACTGTAGCAACGTTACATTTAATATTTCTTAATTATTTTCTACTTCTTATTATTTTCTTCAATTTATAGATTATCTTAATGTGTTTTAATTGAAATAAAAATATTTTGTCATTATAAATTGTTTTCTTTTTCATTTTGTCATTTCCTCGCTGAGGTGGGATGAAAAGTTACGTATTGCACTCGAGTGGAAAGATTTTTCACCTTGTGCTCGTTTGTTTCCCTCGCTGACGCTCAGGATTCTAATTTAGAATCACTCGCTGCGCTCGTGATTCAACTTTAGAATCCTTCGCTTGCTCGGTCATCCAAATCGAGCACGCGGTTAAAAAGGAACTTTCCACTCTTGTATAATAAATAACTATTATCAAGTTATGAGCGTTTGCTCACACAAGGCTCCTCTAACGTCTTTCTGTATGCTGTGGATGTAATTATGTAACAATTTTAAACCTGAAAGTCTAGTATAACTTTGCTAATAGAGTACCTACACCAAATTCCATCCATGTGAATATCCATGTATACTGTAGACCGCGTACGAACTGATTACAACGTGGCTAAACGGTTTCCTATCTAATCGTTCCCGATTTTGCAATTTGCTTAATGATCCACTTAAGATAAATAACACCCGTTAAAAGCATCCGTCAGTTCCTATACCTGTAATTCGAAGTTTAGTTTCTGTACGAGTAGCAAGTTCTAATAACTTTTGAACATGAATTGGTTGCTGATATTTGCTGTTGTAATTTCCGCGTTACTGCATTGCGAAGCTAAAACCTTCACGAGATGCGGTCTGGTTCAAGAGTTGAGAAGGAAGAATTTCCCAGAGAGCGTCATGAGAAATTGTATGTTTTTTAATAATAATAATTTCCTTTATTTGCTAAAACATGGTTAAACAGATCTTACAATAGGTATACAATACATGTTTTGTCATGCAAATTACTAAGCCTTAGTCAATATTTTAAATCTTAATATTTTTTTTGGGTTTATTACTTAAACTGTTAGATATTTTATTATCTAAAGAAAGTTATAAGGAGGAAATTTAATGTGCCTTAAGGAAAACACTAACTTGTAGGTCTACTTACATTTCGGAAAATTTTTGAAAATTCGCGCAGTAGTCCTGTACACCTAGCACGAACCAATATCGAATTCGTATCGTTTGCGAGTCCGTAATGTCACAGACATGTCGTAACGAGAACTAAAAATCAGTACACATTTGACAATGACATTTCGGACTCGCAAACGTTACGAATCCGATATTGGTTCGTGCTAAGGGTATTGTTCTGTTTACTGCAGAATTCGCTGGTGATTTCTATTTGAAATTCGCGTTCTAATTTTGAGTCGCACTGCGTATGAATAGTGCGTTTATTCACAGAATAGCGCTACAGTTATCCCGTTATCCCTACTTTGAATTCGATTAACTCAGATTCTATGTTCAGCCTAATCGATTTCCCCAGGTAAGTTGAATTTGGTATTTCTGATAAATTTCTTTGTTTTTTAAGTATAATAGCTTACAATGTCATAGGCTTATATTTAATTTATCCAATTCTTGATGTTATCTTTTGGGGCAGCCTATGTGAATTTGAATTCTTGAATCTGGGTTCTTGATGTATCTACCTATCGGATTCTTTTCATCGTCCTATTAATGTCCCCACTGCTGGGGCACATGCCTTCCCTATAGATGGAAGCGAGGAATGGAATAAATATCAGAGTTTATACTGATAACACATACCCAGTATGCAGAATAGCTGACGACTGCAGACGCAGTTGAGACCAACGGCTAACGTGTTTTCCGAACTACGTAGAAGCTCGAGATAGTAAATTTATGATTACCCATCCAAGGAACGAGCACTGCAAAAGTTTTTTAATTTCAATGATCGCAACCGAACGCGCTAACTACTTGCGCCATCGAGATTCTCAATTCTTGCTCTTGTTCAGTGAGAATTAACTAAGATGCATTAACTAATAAAAGTACACCCTACGATAGCAAAGCAAACATTTTATTTAGGTATATTTTCTTGAATCCAGGGGTTTGCCTGATAGAGCACGAGAGCGGACGTCGCACAGACATTATCGGGCCTCCCAACAGAGACGGCTCCCGCGACCACGGCTTGTTCCAGATCAACGATCACCTCTGGTGCAATGATTCCAATGTCCCGGGCAAGGACTGTCACGCCACTTGTGCAGGTCAGCCAGCAGAAGGAATATCTTGAATTTAGCAGGGAATATTTTGAATGATAAAAGATGTTTTATGCTAGGGAATTGAAGAAACGATGGGATTGGAGTGTAGGCAAATGTCATTTTCCTAAGACTAATAGTCATTACCGAGTTGTTTTATAACATTCCCTTCCCTAGCACAAAACATCAATTTGAATTCAAGACATTCCTTATTAAATAAAATTACCGTACTTTTACGTAGCCGCACATAAGTATCACATTTTATTGAGAAAATTTTAGTTACTTGATGTTTGGTTTCGTGTAAGTATGTATCTTACCCGCCTACTTTTTTTTATTCCACCTATATGTTTAGGGTCAGTTCTGCCAGCTACTTTGCCATTTTAGTACCTACGTACTCAAAAAAACTTGAACGTAAAACATTGACTGTGAATTTCTCTGCTCAAAATATATTCTTTTATTACGATTTTGAGAAAGTAAATATACCTAATAATTGGAAAGTTTAGTATAAAAATAAGAGGCACAAGTATTATCCACTGGAAATACTTAAAGTGAAGATAGGAAATCAGCATTTAGTAACATGAAACGGAATCATTTAACATTAAAACTGAATTCTGAATGCACTGTAAAGGATAAACGCAATACTCTTGGCTGCACCAACGTTATTAAGATCCTGAACACCTGTGAAATTAAAGCCAAGTTTATTTTCTATGTAACTACAGATCTGAAAAAATCTGAATACCCTTAAACTGTAAACTTTCCACCATAGAGGTATAAGAATAGAGTGGGGAAGGCGGCTTTAAAAGTGACCGTCTAGTAGACTGAGAAAGAAGATGAGGGACCGCTAGCTATTTCTTTCTTTTGTGACGCATAGCATCCAATGGCATCACATCGAAATAGTAAGATGCTTACGGTTGCCAATGCGCATGTGCGATTAGAGAGAGAAAGCTAGCGGTCTCTCATCTTCTTTCTCTTTCTATTAGAGTGTCATCTTGGATCTGTCCCAATTGTCAAGCTACTTCTCATCGAGGAGGTGATAATACCCACACGTATGTCTCTGGGAGCTGAGCAACTTGATTGCCACCCAAGGAGATAATATCGTCACTATCAGAAGGAAAATGCCTGATGTCATGGCCATAACAGGGGATGATATTTATGGACTATTGTGAAAGAAGAACTGTCTGTTATATCGACAGAATTATCGTCTAAATTCACCAATATCATCGACGAGCGTATCAAACCCATTCAAAGAAAAAAATTCATTAATTAACTATCCGATCATTCATTAATTATCTTTAGATCAATTAACTATCCGCTTCTATGTTAGTTATCAGTGACAGTTATGACAGATTTAAGGAACAATTTGAGCAAGAAATTGAATTGATCAACAGGCTTAGAAAGGACAACGAATCTTGCAGGTGGCTGTCAAGGATCTCTCAACGCATGTTAAACAATCTGAACAGCACGCTCGGGCCAATAATATGGAAATGCAATGTGTTCCTGAAAATCGCTCTGATAATTTACTGACACTTATTATGCAACTTGAAAACATTATAAATAATAAGTAACATTAAGGAGACTGATATTCATCAGTGCACCAGGATCGCGAAAATTAATAGCTCTAGCACGCGTCCTCGCTCTATTGTTGGGCAGTTTGCTAATCCCTATTTAAGGAATACCTTCTCGACAGCTGCAATAAAATTTGATATTAATTGTTATTGAACTTTACATCTTAGGTTAAATCAAGCATGAATTTTAATTTGTGGAATAATCCATTTACGATTACGGATCTGTCAAAATTCGTGCTTGGGGTACAGCTAACACCGGCTAACGATGATTCATTCACACTTGTATTTATTATTCCAGAGCTGAGGACTGACGACATCACAAAAGCCTGCAGCTGCGCTATGATCATCTTCAGACGCCAAGGGTTCTACGCATGGTACGGATGGATCGACCACTGCAAGGGAAAACCGCTGCCAGACATCAGTAACTGTTAGAAACGGAAACATACCGGCCGAACTGAGAAACTTCTCCTTTTTGAAGTCGGTTAAAAATACTTTACATCGACGTTGAAGGACGGTTCCTCGGTTAATTTTAAGAATTCAATTAGGTAGAGAAGACTGTCTACAAATACTTTAGTTTTCAAAGAATTTGTAAAATTTTATTATTAAAATGTTTTTTTACATTACATTGTGTGATTTCTTTTGAGAACGAAAGGTTTTATATATTTTTTGGATCTCTAACGGCCATGTCAGTTAAAGTTACAATCATGTTTTCTGACTACTATTATCGCAAGAAAGTGACAACAATAAAACAAAATTAAAGTAAATTGAAGTGTCTGAGTACGGCTGTCATAATTATGCGAGATTTAATGTGTATAGGTATACAATAACGCAAATGCTTTCAGCTCAACTCTTTTTACAGTAGGTTCTTCTTTACAAGTAATTTTTGAATCAATGTTGGTTTTCAATGAGAAAACATTGGAAGGTACACTTATCGTACGTTAGTGCTTTTGTTTTGCGTGTTTACTTTATATTTGTTAAACGTTATATACTTATTTATTTTTATTTTTCACGCTCAGAAATCATTAAATGAAACTCTCTTTAAACAAGTTTGCAATTGTGCTTTTTAATATTTTTCATATTCTCGATGTTTCGGATCCTTTGCAGGGTCCGTGTTGTCGAGTAATGTACTTAGATACTTACAAGTATTAAACGAATCAGAAGTCACTTCTAAGCCCATTTTACTTATTATATTATTATTTTGAAATGAATCCGCTTATCAAGGCTATTTGATATCCATAATGTAGCCGTTAAAGATTTTTTTGTAACTAACTTAAGAGCATACATCCGTCTTGTTTTATTAATCATGGTTAAGATCCATCATCTCCAAATGGTCCTCCCATTGGATTTACCGACACATTCAAAGTCATCGCCGTCAAGCATCATGAACATACATGAATCCTGAAAAAATTACACTGCTTTCTCATCAGTGTAATTTTTTTTTAAAAAGTGTAAAAAAATGACATTAAAACATAAAAACAATTATTGTATTTTACAAGTCATTTATTGAGAATTTCAAATTATGAATAAATAACTTACATATTGTACTATTACCTACTTAAATAAAGACTACTAATAAAAGGACGAGTAGTAGTTAAGTTATTAAATTTTTCTGCCCATTTTTCTAAATCTCGATAATCAACAAAAACTAATTTTAACCTATACCTATAAAAAATGTCAAAACGCCAATGTCAATTTGTCATTCTTGTATAGCTTAAATCTAGTTTTAGTTGAATCGAGATTTAGCATATTTGCTGCAAGTAGGTCTAAATGTAAACTAACATTACGTTTCCTTAGGTATTAAACAGAGGGTTCAACTGGTGTACCCTGAGAAACACCCAAGCCCCCAAACTGATTTATTAATAAGTACTCAAGAGGCTAATTGATTAACATTTGCTGATATTAGGTAAAGTTTTTCCTTTGCAGTGGTTTATCCAGCCGTACCAGGCGTTGAACCCGTGGCGCTGGTAAATCTTCTTGGCACATTTACACGCCTTGGTGATGTCGTTAGTTCGCAACTCTGAAGAAAAGAAAAAAAAACCAATATTTTTTGCTTTTAACTTATGTGTTTGTAGGCTAGTAGATATTTTTGGATATTTTCATAGGAGATTAGTTGCGATAGTTGGTGTAGCTTATACGGTAGTCAATAGAAGTTTTCACATTTTGTGATATTTTTTAACTGTTCATCTACGAGTATGAACCTCATGCGTTACTGCCGGCTGAGAGGCAGACGGACGGACGGATGGATATACACACGGCTATTAAGTATTGATCAATGGAACCAGATAAATCTGGATCTCTTTGTCTAAATACAAATCTGGCGCCCAGGGCCACTAATTATTTGCACTCCCTCGCCCCCAATATAGGTCATAACGAATGCCTTTATATGGCTTCTGCCGCCCAGGCCTTTACAGCATCCATATCGGGTGGGGTCTGCTTGCGGACAATCACCTGCGGGTGCGCGGCCAGTCGGAATCGATTGCCGAGGCCACACCCGGACTCTCGGCACGCATTGGGGGCCCTCGGTCCTCACAATGCGTGACTGCTGATCGGTGTAGGAGTATTGTCTGGTTTTTCGTGGCCCTGTTCAGGGCGTAAGGTAGGGCTCACCCTGCTTATTTCATCTGGTCCAAGGTCTGGCTGAAATGAGCAGGCAGGAGTCCCATATACTTTCTTCTCGTTCTCCCGGTGGATGAAGGATGCGTAAGTAAGGGGCTAGGAAATATCCTAGCCCAAAAACAAAAAGAGGCCCTTCCAGCATGTCGCCCCGTCTTAGCTCTAGGGTAAATACGCCCCTGCATGGAACCTTATGAGATTGTGAAGGCTATTCGTAATAAACTTACGTGCACAAGTGACGTTACAATCCTTGCCCGGCTTGTTGGTGGTGCTACACCAGTACTTGTCGTTGATCTGGAATAGGCCGTGGTCTCGGGACCCGTTACTGTTGGTGGGGCCGATGGCATTTGTGCGGCGTCCGCTCTCCTTCTCCACGAGGCAAACCCCTGAAATATCATGGAATGTGTGATTGATGTGATTGTCTTGGCATTAAATTTACATACCGTTTAATTATAGCTATGGCGAAAGCAGTTTTACATGATAGAGTAACGAACATACAAATTATTAAATAAAATAAATATAATGATAAACGTTCATATTTATAATATTACTAGCGGACCCGACAGACGTTGTCCTGTCTACACGTCTTTGTGAATCTAAACTCTCAGATCCCCTTGAACACACACAAAAAATTTCATCAAAATCGGTCCAGTCGTTTAAGAGAAGTTCAGTGACATACACACTCACAGAAGAATTATATATATAAAGATTGTGACTAAAATAAATATGCGAATACATAGATACGAAATTCTTAATTTTAACTTTACTATTTTTTAACTACTCGCCTCCGCTATCCGCGGAAAAGATGTTAGATGGAAAGCGGAGACTGCAGTTTCGAGTTCCGTCTGCTGCCTGGTCTGCGTGGAATTATTTCTAGTGAAATTTACTTTACATTAAAACATGTAGCAGTAAAATGCTTAAAATTATAAATTTTGTTACGTGTCGGGATGTGGTTCGAAATTATATGCCAGTTCACGCTTGGTTCGACAGCGTTTTTGACAATAATCTAAGTACTTACAGTTACGTAGTTGACTCTCTGGAAATTTTTGTCTTCTCAACTCTCGTACCAGCTCGCATCTACTAAACGTTTTAGCTTCGCATTGCCAGCACAGTCCAATGACAACTAAAGCTACAATCACCAAAATAGATTTCATGTTTGCGAATAATTTAAATACTTTACTTTTATGACAAGTTATATTTAATTGATACCGATAAACATTATGATGAGCGTGATAGGAGCGTGCGGAGTTTATATATACGATTTTCCTACTGAATATTTGGTGTAATAGGTATCTTAGCTTATCTAGGTTTTTAACCTACCCGGGGTCCGGGGAACCACTTTACAAATATAAGAAACAATGATAGGGAAATTCGTTCCTATTATTTACTTATGTGCCAACATCTGTGCAATTAATATACATGTTAACACAATAGGTACATACACAATTAACCTACATGTCTTCATCTTCCTTTGTAAGATTTCATCAAATAAATACTTATCTAAGGTAAGTGATACAAATAAGGCCTACCTAATTACAAACACTCATGTCATGATAAAAAATATTCTTTGTTTCATAAATTTTGAGTAATTAAGAAAACATAGTACAATCTATTATCAGAAATCACTTAAAAAGAGCAAATTCTGAAGCCTCAGGCCTTTTAAAACATAGTGACTTAACAAAGCCTATGCACTTAAATTATAGGAATATTGTTATTAGAGTATAAATTGTATTAAAAGGGTAGCTCCCCTATATGTAAAGTGGGTAAATTTTATTTCATCGTCTACCCCATCCTCTAGGATATTGTTGAATAGGTCCTTTAAAACGACATAAGGCTGCTAACTAGGGAAACAGGGGTGATTGTTAACTCACAAATTATGATGCCGAGTTGTTACAAAAATTAAAGCCAAACAAAATAATAAAATAAAAACTATTTAGCAAAAATATTCAACCACTGGTAAAACTGAAAAGCAGACAATAGTATACTTTTTTATCCTTATTCAAATTGATATTGAGGAGCTGGCGAATAAAACAAATACTTTTTTTTTACCGTGCGGACTTTTTAGGCACGCTGAATTTGAATTTCAATTCATTCTCAATCCTATGCCTAAAATAGTGTAAAAATTACTAAATGAAAAACCACACCAAAAGCTCACTGTAGGTTAGTCACTTGTCATTTAGTTTTTTACTGTTCCTGTAAAATTAAATTTTATGTAATAGGCTAGTTGACCCTTTTTGGAAAAAGGTTTTAAATGGTTAATAAATGTTCTATTAGACCGAAAAAAATGTATTGTATTTTTTTGAGACCTAGAAAGCTACAAATCTTTAATTTTAAAATAGACTTTTCATGGACATACAAAAACGCTGTCGGCCATTTTAGTCTATAGATTATCTATGCTATGACGTTGACGGTAGTAAACAAAAACTCGTAAGCACGTAGAAAATAACCTATCTGAGTTTATAATAAAAAAAACATGATTTCTAATAGATACCACGAAAAATATAGTAATTATCATTATTGTATTGTACGAGAATGTAAAAACACATCCTTGAAGACTCCTGGAAAGTTGTGGATTAAAGTGCCGAAAGAAATTAACCTACGCAATACCTGGTTAGAACTGTCTAAAAGTGATCCTGATACTTTATCGACTCATAGAAAAAAATATTTATGCGACGAAGATCACTTTGATGTAAGTACTCATTGAATAATATTTTAAGTCTCTTCATTTATTATCAGTTTTAATAATGCAAGTTTTAAAGTTATGTATGAATGACATTTAGTTGTTTACTAAAAGAGACGTCACAACTATGGCGGATGTAGCGAACAGCGTTTTTAGTGTTTAAAAGGTATAGACTAAAAATATTTTTTTTAAATTAAATTTCTACAGCGATCTCCTGCTTTTATGAAGTAAAATCGATATATTTAGGTTCCTTAGACCAAATACTTTAAGAAATAAACATTTATTTAATACAATTCGACATGAGTCAACTAGCCTATTATACCGTTTTATTCATTAGCTTATCATTATGGAGCCTTTGCCATGCAAACCCAGTAGTAAATGGGCACTCAGATCTACTAGACATGCATGTTACCGGCTCCAAATATTCCTTTGACTAAAGATACAAAAAAAATATGATTTACTACTTTTCAGTATTTTCGGCTTTTCATTTGTTTTGCTAAAAAGTTTTTATTTGTGTATTGGTATGGTATTCGTATACGATTAGTATTGCACAGTTTTAGGATTTCGATTTGAATTTTTTATTATTTTGTGGTTATGAATTAGTGATAAAGTATAATTTTTTTATCGTTTATTTTCAGAGTAGATTTAGACTTTCTTTAATTGGCTCACATCATATTCGTGATTTTAGAAATTATTCCTAGTGCAAGCAAAGTCGCGAGCAAAATTTAATATGCTTAAATTCATCACAGATAGGTAATGGGTTATTGTAAATCCACCACAAATCCTAATTTTATATATTTTTTGCATATATTACATAGTAGCGGAAGCAAGCAAAGTCATTTGTTTTTAGGAGCAAAAAATGCGATTACTAGATATATGTGAGGTTAAATTAATAAAAATGTGATTATTACCGAGATTTAATTAAGTATCTTTTTTCTATTTTTATAATATTTTGGGTAAACTAGCTATTTTAGACCTATGATTATGAAATAGATGGTTGCATTTTAGATTTATGAATGATTTTGTTCTACTTTTTGTTCGATTTTTCTGTTGTAGATGCGAAAAAATCAACATGAATAAACAGCCAATTAACAAAAATAATATAAGACGGATTTATTTCATAAAAATAGAACTGTGACGAATTCACACATACTTTATTCGCGAAAAATATACTTTGTGACTAATGTTCAATAGCTCATTGTTTTCGTTTCTCTCGCCTGATAATGGAAGAGCGTATTTAACATTTTCAATTTATTGTTCATGGCATATTTTTCCTTGTCCTACACTTGTCCGAATTTTGTGGTTGGGTCTGCCCAATAAATCCAGTTTTGATTGCTTACACATTACGATGATGGATGTGTATATAATACAGTTTTCGAGTCCATTTCCCTTTCGCTTGAGGATATTTTTCAGAATGAAGTTATTATTAATATTAGTCACTGTCGTGGTAACAGTTTGCTTGCAGTGTGAGGCGAAAACTTTTACAGTATGCGAGCTGGTTCATGAGCTGAGGAAGCAAAAATTCCCAGAAAACGAAATGAGAGACTGTGAGTTGATTTCTACATTTTTAGTCATTGTATCGCCTTTAACTGCATCGTTATTAACAGGGCCGTCTTTAACCTATTGGCGGCCCTGGGCATAAAAGGATAATGGGGTAGGATAAAATGACTTTGATAAAATATGGATTATGACTTGAAATGGAGCGAGTCATACTGATGTGTATACTACTGATGATTTTTCTTTAAAATGTGTAAGAGCTTAGTATACCATAATTTATCTAAGCATGCTGAAGTAGGAAAGCCTAATTTTTGGGCGAGAGTAGAATAGCTTCGCATATGTAAAAGCTAGTAAATTGGTATTGTAGTCAGTAATTTAGGTTCGATTTCATCGAATTATATAAGTTTTTTGGTAATAAATATTGGTTATCGTTTAGTGATCTAACAGGAACTAGGGACTTTGTATTTGATCTGAGGGCCTATCGATGCGGGGCCCTGGGCACTTGCCCAAAGTGCCCACTGGGAAAGAGGGGTCTGGATATTAATGTGATGTTCCGTGTGGTTTTTGCTTCGGTCTTCCTGTATTTGTATAAATGATTTATCCTTTTTTTTTCGGCTATATTATAAAGACCAATTTTTAATACCAGAGGTTTGTCTCGTGGAGATGGAGAGCACGCGTCGCACCCACGTCACTGGGTCTCCAAATAGTGACGGCTCCAAGGACCACGGCCTCTTCCAGATCAACGACCGCTACTGGTGTAACGATTCCAACGTTCCCGGGAAGGAATGTCATGTTACTTGCGGCCGTAAGATTTTTATTTTTTTAGATTTTTGATGATATTGGTAATAGTAGCGATACAAAATGCTACAGAGTCTATGCGGAAAAAGAATGGGTGTGGCGAAAAACGGAACTAACATTAAGATTTTTATTTGGCAATCAAACCCAGCAATCTGTAAAACGTCAAAGTTTTGAATTGGTACGGATTTGTTTGTTGTTGTGATTTCTTGCGGTTTTTGTGTATTTAATCATGTCTAAAAGGGGTAAAACCTTACAAATACGGTAGAAAAGCACTACAGCGCCCTCCAATCTAAATCCCATTCTCTTTCCGCACAGATTCTATACGTTTTTGCACCGTGTTCTACCAGTATAAGAGTACGCAAAAGTTAAATATTCAGGGCGTCAATTTTGATATCTAACGTGAAAATTTTGTTTTAATAGCGGTAGATAGCATAGTTATTTGACACGGTTCTTCTTATTTAACCATAAAATACTAATGCTAAATAGATAAAGAACGAGCAAACAAATATATTTGTGTTTCTGTGTTTATAGTGACAATAACCGTGTCAAAAATCAAAACTACCTACTAGACCAGTCGTCTTTATTTGTGGTAAAAATATTTAATATACGATATACGATTTTTTTAATATATGATTGCACCGGCACCGTTTGAAACAGAAAACAAATACAAGCGTTTCATATAAAAAAAAAAACGACGGGTTGCACTCCGGGAGTGCCGGCAGAAGTGAAAACTTGAATATTAACGTTGTGCATTTTTGATATTTTGGAATGGTTAGGGAATAATTTTGCACGAATTGCTTTAATTATCAGTATTAAAGTATTATCATGTATGTGGTAGAATACAATATTTATTTATTGCGCTATCGTACACAAACATGACAATTTATATTACATTAAAAAAGTTTATATCTCAGAAAAATCAACTTACATGAATCACGTTTAAGCGCACTTAGCGATATCTATTGTAAAGAAATGCATTTTCTTCGCAATAAAGCTGCCACCTGGACGTCCTAGATAGAGACACCTTTCCAATTTTATTGTGTGTCATGATGCGATCAGCCCACTTGTTTAACCTGACGCGAGTTTAACATTTTTCACCCATACAAAAAAAAGTGTACAACGCCGCTAAAAAAGTTTTCACTTCAAAAACAAAATTTCATTTGAAACAGAAAACAAATAAGTACTAGCGTTTCATATAAAAAAACTTTCATACAAAAATTTAAACCTGATATCGGGTACAACTTTTGGATACCATGTTGACAAATGACTGAAAGTGCCATTGTCGAAATTAAATTTTGACCTCTAATCGGATTCAGCATCCTCGAAAACATAAATATCAGTAATAAAATACTGATTCAAACATTTCACGACAAACAGTGGAAAAAATAATAATAGGACAACTGGACTATACTGATGGTCGATTATTACTCTAACTTAGCAGAATCGACACTCAAATTGTACGGGACGCCGGGCTGTCGCAGTAGCGGACAGTTACCGACTCGTACTGAGGGGTGGAGGAAGTTACACGCAGGAGTCTTGACTGTAGTGGACTGTAGTTTCGGCGAATAAAACCCCTGGTGTTCGGTATTGAAGAAATCGGTGGGCGCTGATAATGGATGGCCGGTGAGAGGAGGCTTCAGGTCCAGAGTGAACCGCTTGGTGTTTCTTCCTGTTCCTTAGGGTAGGAGCGCCTGTCGCTGAATGGATGTCGGAGCATGTTCCGACTCGAATTTTATATGCTAGGACTGAGCTGGCCAGCGATCCATTACCTACCTCACCCTCGCTATAGGTACTTTATTTTTCATTTTTTCAAAAATTACATAAGTGCGAGCTTAAAACTAATTGTACATACATCGGGCATACGAATAGGCATATTTTTAACACAGTTATGTGTCCGTAAGCATGATATTTTAGGTGTGGCACGCAAAAAATAGGTCTCCGCAATATTTATACTTTCCCCCTCCATAGGGCTTCGCCCTGCCACGGGGCTCCGCTGCCCCACCCGCGCGCTCCGGGCGCGCCGGGTGGGGAGCGCAACATGTCTTAGAAAACCGTTCTATACAAACAGATTTTGTCTCCTATACGGTACATTTCTACATTTATTGATGTGATGCCTATTTATTTATGTCGTCCTATGCGTTATCTACCTAATACAACAAATTTCTAATAAGAATATTAACAAATAACAGCTCTATGGCCCTATAAAGATTACAAATTAAAAAGTCTTAAAAAACCTATTTACATTCACTTAATGCCTAACTATCATATATCATTTTATAGAGGAAGTAAAAACATACAAAATAACACCATTATCATTACAATTATACCTATATCCTATCAACTATTCGTAAAAAACTATTTCCAATATTTTCCTCAATTACGCCTAAACTACTAATACGATTTACACAAAACTTTGATATTTTACTCTTATATCTACTTATTTCCTAATAAGATATAAAACAAATAAATCGAAACATAAAGACATACTATTTACGAATGCTTACAATTCAGGTAAAATCTTATAAGATGTTAGAAAAGGACAGCCTATCGTCTCTGTCCCTCCTATAGGTCGAAACTATCAATATTCAATAGTCGCGAAGAGATGGCGCTGCCTTGCAGCTTAAGGCTAGGAAAATTTCGACGCGGCTAATAGGGCCGTGGTAGCATAATGGTCAGTGCATTCGCCCGGATAGCGAAGGATGCGGGTTCGAGTCCCGTCCGCTGCCTGGTCCGCGTGGATTTTTTTCTAGTAAACTTTTCTTTAGATTTAAACATCTAGCAGTTAAATGCTTAAAAAATAAATAAAATCATAACTATAATTGCTATTTCTTCTTTCAAATGTTTAATACTTGAAAAAGTATTCATTTGACATTGTGGGTTACCTACAATGCGAAGAGATGGCGCTGCCTTGCAGCTTAAGGCTAGGAAAATTTCGACGCGGCTAATAGGGCCGTGGTAGCATAATGGTCAGTGCATTCGCCCGGATAGCGAAGGATGCGGGTTCGAGTCCCGTCCGCTGCCTGGTCCGCGTGGATTTTTTTCTAGTAAACTTTTCTTTAGATTTAAACATCTAGCAGTTAAATGCTTATTCAATCAATATTCTAACTAGTTTCCCCGCGCCACCGCTTGGCGTCGTGGCGATCGTTTAGACAAATTCTTATAAGATTGTTGGAGAGAACGAGACGGAATATCGCTCTGAACTATCAATTTTACAATGGTTTACTACGGGCAAAGCTATCTATTATTGCGATATCATTCTAATAAGACAACAAGGGAATGATATTTTTAATGTGTATACAACCGATACATGTGAAATCATAGATACATTTTATAAATCAATCTCATATTGTCGTAAGTTTATTTCCTCTCGCTTCGGTCGTCGCGTACACAAATTATATGTATATAAGTAATGGTGTCAATTCTGACATGATTCTCTAAACCTAAACTTAAATTTGACAACAGTGTATCCTTGCCATTCTCTATACGGAATGAAAAGGAGAGATTGATGTTAAATTTAGTTTTAAGTTTAGAGAATCACGCCAGAATCGACACCAGTATGTAGCGGCAAACTTCTCGAGTAAAACCACAGACAAATAAACTTGCGCAGTAGTCGTTTTTGTGAAATTGCTAATGCGCAGTCTTCCTTGTCTAAGGTCGTTGATCAAAATGTTTGCCAGGGGTGTAATACCTTACTATCTTATTCCAGAGTTAAGGAGTGATGACATAAGTTCGGCATCGACTTGTGCGAAGAAGATACACCGACGTCACGGGTTCAGTGCTTGGTACGCGTGGCGCGATCACTGCAAAGGAAAACCTTTATTACCCGACATCAGCAAATGTTGATCATTGTACATAATTAGTTGTCCCTCACGGAGTACATTTGGGACCCCATTTTCATGAATTTTGGTGACATTATATACAAAATGAACTAATTTACGGAATAATTAACGGAAAAATTGGGCTTTAGTGCTATTATTTTGTGGTTTTATTATATTTTTAAATGTTTATTATTTATTAATCACTTACATCTTGTTTTAAAGAACTGGGCCTACGTTCTGTAACATTTTCACAATCAAACGGGAAACTCGCGGATCCGCATCGGATCCGCGCATGAAAATTTTACAGACTAGCCCCGCTGTTATAATTATTATTGATTCCATAGTGTGCCCTTTTTATATAAAACCGCAACAAACTGCAGTCTACTAGATGTTACTTTTAGTGGGAGTCTATTTGCAAAGAATCTTTCCATTTTCTTATATACCTACTTATATTCTTGCCTCTCCAGCCATGTTAACCTTGCTAGTCTGAATTCAATGTTCTACTACGTGGAGGGCTAGAACCTTAGCCAACAACAAAAACACAACACCGCCAATAAGTTAAATGTTATTTTACTGTGGCACTTATTATTTAAAGAAAAAGCTAATTCCCTAGACGGGCGCTACTATTCGCAAAATCCGATATTGGTGTTGATTCTAGCATGATTCTCTAAACCTATACCTACTTAAATTTGACAACAGTGTATCCTTGTCATTCTTGTCTGTCCTGTCTTGATGTTAAATATAGTTTTAAGTTTAGAGTTCATCCCAGAATCGGCATGAGTATGCTCTACCACTCATTAAATTAGGTCCTTTAATTTATTTCGAAGAAAGTGTTGCTGGATTAACGGCAATCTGTGGATATTTTTTGCGCAATATATTTACTAAAAACCGGCCATGTGCGAAGCAGACTCAAGCACGAGAGTTCGCAAGAGTTCCATTCTATTTATCTGTACATCATTAGATACTTTATTATAATATCGAGCAAAAAATTACGAAAATATCACGACTGTTGTATAGAAACCCACTTAAATATTTAAATTACTATAAAATGTTATAGGTTTTCCTGTAATCTACAATCAAAGAGCAATCTATATTTCAAATTTTTAGACGTACTTCTTTTACCAAATTTCAACTTGATCGGTCCAGTAGATTCCATCCACTTTTTATATATGACGTGGATACGAAGCAAATTGACTGTGACGGACAGACGAGGGAGTAATCTAATAAGGATTCCGTTTTTTCCGATTAAAGTACCGAACCTTAAAAATAAGAAGGTTGTTTAAGAAAAAAAACTGGCCAAGTGCGAGTCGGACTCACGCACCGAGGGTTCCGTACAAACCGGAATTTTCAAAAACATTTTTTTATTATACTATGATGTAACTAAAAATTCACGGGTTTCGCAATTTTCGTTACTTCGTACCAAATTTCAAGATTCAAGTTCACGGGAAGTACCCTGTAGGTTTTGATTCCCATGCGAGTTTCGTTTCGCGGAAATTTGCGGCATAAACGGCTGTATCTTTTGATTGCTTTGGCTTAAAAGTTTGATTTTTTCACAGCTCCAAGGGACAGTAGACCTGAGTCTTAGATATGAATTTCAGTTTGATACCTCCACGCATTCCTGAGAAAAACGGTCTTGACAGACGGACCTCTAAGGGTTCCATTTTTTCCTTTTGAGGTACGGAAACTTAAAAAACATTTTTTTGTTCGTTATAAAAGTGGAAAGTAGAAAAAAAAGTATGTTCTGGTAAAATGTTTTTATTGGTAAGATGTCTTACGACATTTAAGGGGGCTTATCATTTGCTAAATCAAACAACTGTGAAATATAAGTAGTCGATAAGGTGCTAGTGAAAATGATAGGGAAAGAATGGGAGCGTTTTATTTATTAGTTTATTGCTTCGTGATAAACTCAATTTCTAAATTGATAATACTTGTCATCGGTTAATGATTTTTGTGTTAAGCCAGGTGTGTTCATGTTTCTAGTGGTAAAGAGGTCAGAGTAGATTACCCAAGAACGCAAAAGAGTGATAATGATTTAATAGATAATTTGATCAATAGATTATGCAGATAGATTTTATCGATTTCTACGAAGTCATTCTTATTTTTCTATTCCGTATTTTTTCTATTAAATCTCATATAAGTAGTCGGTATATTAAAATCACAAAGGAGACATGGTCTGTAGAACTACACTAGCGGCCGCCCGCGACTTCGTATGCGTGGAGTTAGTTATTTGCACATACTATTTGACCCCAAAAAGTGGTTTATATATTAAGATACATTATTAGTAAACCTCTACACCATCTATAGAGCATACATGTTAAATTTCAAGTATCTTACTGCAAAAAAATAGGACTTTCATACAAACTTCCAACCCCTGTATTACCCCCCTTAGGAGTGGAGTTTCGTGAAATTCGTTCTAAGCGGATATCTACACCCTATAAATAACCTATCTGCTAAATTTTAAGTTTGTTGATGTTATAATATTTTCTGAGATTGAGTGATTAACTAGTGAGTGGAGTGGAGAGAGTAATGGAAGGTGACTTCAGAATAGGGCTGCCATCCGTCCGGGTTTCCCCGGATTTGTCCTAGTTTACGGGGCGTCCGGGGAGCGTCCGGGCGGGGTTTTATTTGTAGTCCGGGTTTAAAAATTTATGGCAACGCATGAGTGGCCCTTGTTGCTGCAAGTGTCCATGGGCAGCAGAGACCACTTATTATGAGGTAGACCGCTAACTCTTTTGCCTAGATCAAGATAAAAAAGTTGATTTGTGACATTTTTAACTATTTTTTTATTGGTCTGTCTTCTGGGTTCTGGGCTCCAAAATCCAGGGTTATCACGCGTCTTATCCTGGTTACCATATTTTAGAGATGGCAGCCCTACTTCAGAAGTATCTCCGAAGTCTACTTGACGACTCTGTATATATCAATACCGGGAGAAAAAAGTAGCCCTTGATGAGTTTCTTGCCGGTTCTTCTCAGTACAAGGTCTCCCGCCGTGGCTTCTGGCCTTCACAAGTGCTTGTTACAGCCTAGTCTGAATAAATGACTTTTCATTTCATTTTATTTCAGTGGTATTTCGCTGCGACATCGATTGCGTGAACGCTATACATCACCAAAAATACCTACGATTATACCTTTTAAAATAATATTCATTTACCCGTTTCTTCTTTACATTTCATAACTTCAGAAAGTGCAGTAACAGAGGGAGACTGTCTTTTGTAAAATTGACCTTCAAAATGTGCTGATTTTCTGCCTGCTTTGAATAAATGACTTTATGGTGATTCTGCTGAATTAAGTCATAAGTTGTGACTGATGCAGATGGAGAAAATAATCAATAAGAAATACAGAATAGGGTAAAAATACATACTTATAGGAATTCTCGATAAACAACATTAGTGGTTTGGCTCTCAACAGCCAAAATGTAAAGAGAGTCTGGACTGGTGACGCGGGAGCAAGCGACGTACAGCTGCCTGTGTGAGAAGCAGCTCGTCATGAGGTCGACACCCTCTGCCCTCAGTGTCTACCCCTGCGACTTATTGCAAGTAACTATTGACCTCGCCCACATGATTTTGACAACCTCCGTGGCCGAGTGGTTTGTACGCCGGGTTTCATGGTGTCGCCGACTCGAGAGGTCCCGGGTTCGAATCTCAGTGGGGGCAGATGTTTGTGTGATGAATACGAGCATTTGTACTCCAGTCATGGATGTTTAATATGTATTTCTATATAAATCTACTTATATATGTACAGTATATGAATTCTACCCGTTACCCTAGCATCCCATAATACAGGCTTTACAGTGCTTACTTTGGGGCTAGGCTAATTGGTGTGTTGGAAATATTTATTTATTTTATTATTTATATTATTTATGATCAAATTTAAATTATTTATATCCAAAAAGTGCTTACACATGTTATTCGACTTGATGTTTTTGAAATCTCATAAATGGCGCTGCTTCAAAATTGTCTATTAAGTTTATCGGCCTAAGTTACTTATAGTGTGAAGCTAGCTTATAGCATGGTTAACATAATAACAACATTCAAATTATGCGTCGTTAGATTACACGTTGTTACAGAATGCGTTGAAGAAATAAAGGTTCACTGCTCGTTCCCTGTAGGTGCGCGTGATAATATGTAGCCTATATGTTGACCCGACTTCTTAATAATATTCGTGTCAAATTTGAAGAAAATCCATGCAGAACTTTTTGAGTTTATCCCGGACATACCTACAGACAAGCAGACAAAAAATCTAAAAACTATATTTTTGGCTTCGGTATCGATTGTAAATCACACCCCAAGTATTCTTTTGAAAATATATTCAATGTACAGTTTTGTCTTTCCTACCATTTTATAATACCTATGTAACATAGATATTCTATTAGTTCCGTTTAATCCAGCAGACAGATAAATTGCTAATAGGTATGTAGACAATGAGAAGAACATTTGTATGAACTCAAAAGTAACTTTAAAATGAAATTACAGGGGAATCGAAAATGTCCGGTTTCTGGAGAGGTAAGGTACCGCTGTGATATGTTTTAATGGCTCCGTACCTCAATCGGTAAAATACAGAACCCTTATCTTATGAGGGTTCTATTTTTGGCGCGCGCGTTGCAGACTGTGACAGACAGACAGACAACCGAATGATCCTCCGGAATCTACTGGATCGATCAAATTGAAATTTGGCTCTTTGCTTGTAGATTACAGGAAACCCTATAGGAAGCCAATAAAATATAAATATTTCCAACGCTCACACCAATTATCCTAGCCCCAAAGTAAGCACTGTAAGGCTTGTGAGTTGTGTTATGGGATACTAGGGTAACGGATAGAATACATATACTGTACATATAAAGGTACATTTATATAGAAATACATATTAAACTAAACATCCATGACGGGAGTACAAATGCTCGTATTCATCACACAAACATCTGCCCCCACCGGGATTTGAACACGGGACCTTTCGAGTAGGCGACACCATGTAACCCGGCGTACCAACCACTCGGCCACGGAGGACGTCGTGTATAATGATACGGAACCCTTCGTGCGCGAGTCCGACTTGCACTTAGCGAATTTTCTTTTAGTCGAAAGCTTAACAACATTTACTGGATTTGGTAAAGGTTTGTACGGTACATATTGAGCATGTCATTCCTGTCGCAGTTCAGGACATTACACTGGGGCAGCAAAACGTGCTTCGACCCTAAAAATGCGTGTTGCGTCTCACCAGCGACATCTCTCATTCCTGCTAACAAATTAAGTATATTAAAAATGTGACGGTGCCGGTGCGTAGCACGCATGCGCGACCCATCGACTCCTGGAAGTCATAGCCACATTGCAGTCAGCGTGGTGATGTCCGCTAGTGCGGATGGGCGGCGCGGGCTGGGCGCGCGGCGAGGCGCGCGTTGCAGACGACTCCGATTTTGAGACCTTAAAGAAACTCCTCTCTTCCTCTGAAGGCTGGACACTGGAGTATGAGAAGGACGGCGTCAAGGTGTGGGCGGAAGATGCTGCACACGGCGCGCTCAGAACAGTCAAGGTTTGTTGTCTTTACTCAGTTGCGAGTATTTCTCTTTGTTGTTGTGCGGTTTAGTTTAATCCTATCAAACGCTGTTGAGGTTGTATTTCTTTTATTACATCTTTAGTTTTGAGCAAAGTAATGGTAACAACTTTGATTGAAATTTGAAAATGCAATTGGTATTTTTTCACTTATCGTTACGAAATGTAAACTTTAGGGAATCTTGGTGTAACTTAAGGGATTGTGAGTTTGTATGCTGACGTTCATAATAAAGATTTGTTACCTTATTTATTACTATACGAGTCCGCTTTGGGTTATGTCTACGTTGCGATGTGCTTGCTGTCCTCACTGAGACTTGGTGAAATCAGTACAAGATGGCCAGGAAGTAACATACCTAGTGGCTGAATTTGACTGACCTTATTCTCAATATAAATTGAACTGAAAGATCTATACTGCGAAATTACTATGGGATTATGCTATTCAGGATTCCTACACCATTATTTTTGTATCGCATTATTTGACTAAAGTACACACACACACACTATTATCCTTAGACTTGCCCTTGTCTGCAGTGCCGTAGAAGACTTTACAAATTGGAAGTCAAAAGTACGACGATACAACTAACTTCCGTCTCTAGCAGGATTCGAACTTCGGATTGAAGATGAGGCTCCGAAACTATACTTTCTACAAGGTCCACTAGTCTACAAATTCCTAGAACATTAAAACACAAATAAATCGTGAACTTTAGCGTGAAAATACCTTTGTATTTGTTCGTACTTTCATAGTCCCTCGGGCTGTAACTCTTTCATTTTATGGAAGCCTGGTAGTGTGTTGCAATTAATTACCTAGGTATCTTGCCTGTGATCGCATGTAGGTACATACCTACTACATAGTAGGTGCACCAACAAACGTTAAACATTACAGTGCACGATCTTTTGTTACTTAAATAAGTTTGTCAACCGATTTCATTTTTAAATTAACAAAAGTGGAAATTTAAACAAAAGCATTTACGGCGAGAGCTTTGTTCATATTTCAATCATTGCCAGGCACTGTAAAATCTGTGTAAACTTGTGGAGGGGGAGATTATAAAGCATTCATTGACTACCCTCATGGTAGAGTGGTGTGTACACCGGAGTATCGATTCTGCTAAGTTTTAGTAATAATCGTGTGTCAATGGTGTTTCACTAATTTTGGTTTTAAATAAAGCAATTGTTACTAAAACACAACATAACGAAAGTATTTGCTTACTGTTTTGTAACAGTTATATATATGCTTTTGTTATTTTAGTTTTTTTTTTTTTTTTTTTTTTTTTTTTTTTTATAGTTAGGTCCGACAAATGACTCCACCCCACCTGATGTTAAGTGAAGGTGAAGTCCAGACGCGAAGATAGCTGATACAGCAGTTCTACCTGCCACACCAGCCATCCTCACCCTGCCGGCCTGCATGTTGCTTCTTCACGCCTCTTTTAAAGGATCCCAGGTTGTAAGAGGGAGGGAACACGTGAGCGGGCAGAGCATTCCATTTACGGATAGTGCGACAAAGAAATGAGTCACCAAATTTCTTTGTACGCGTTGGAATTGTGGCCACAGTAAAACGGTGACAACGTAGGCCAGCGCGCGTGGTCCTCTAAAGGAAAGGGGAAGGTGGGATAAGAGAGAATAACTCCTCAGAACACTCGCCGTGGTACAAACGATAGAACGCGCTTAGTGACGCCACGTCACGGCGTAATTGAAGAGGCTCAAGGTGTTTAGTCACCTCCTCATCGCCTATGATGCGGATCGCGCGCCGCTGTAACCTATCCAAAGAATCGAGCAAGTACTTGGCGGAGCCATCCCAGAGGTGCGAGCAATATTCCACGCAGGACCGCACTTGCGTTTTGTACAACAAGCACAGTTGATCGGGCGTGAAAAAACGCCGCACCTTGTTCAGGACTCCGAGTTTGCGTGAAGCTGTTTTGATCACGGTTTCGATGTAGTCCTTTGGATTCAGGTCTGAGCGAACTTCCATACCGAGCATGGAAATGTTGCTCTGCAGCGGTAGTGTTGTGCCCTGAAGAGATGGAAGGGGAAGGAATGGCGATGTTTTTGCCGTGAAAGCGCAAGCCTGAGTTTTCTTGGCATTGAACCCAACCAAGTTCCTGGTACCCCATTCGGAAATGTGGTCCAAAGCCTGATTGAGTTCAATGACAAGATTTTCCCGTTTCTCCCTGGTTACTGCATGCCCAGCCGCTGCTTGTCCGAGATACCCCGCATGCACTGTACTATCGTCTGCATAGCAATGAATATTCCCAAGAGGAATCAGGTCATTGATATGCAGCAGAAAGAGAGTGGGGGATAGGACGGAGCCCTGGGGAACACCGGCATTCACTGACATGAACCGCGAACTGCTACCATCCGTAAGGACACGAATTCTACGCTCATGCAGGAAGTCAGCTACCCAAGAACAGAACTGGGCTGGCAGACCGTATGCCGGAAGCTTGGAGAGAAGGCTTTTGTGCCAGACCCTGTCGAACGCCTTGGCAATGTCAAGGCTGATAGCCAACGACTCGCCACGCTTGTCGATAGCCTCACCCCAGATATGAGTTAAGTACGCTAGAAGATCACCCGTCGATCGTTTCGGTCTAAATCCATATTGACGATCATTAATCAGGGAGTGATCCTCTAGGTAGCGGGTCAGATGGTTATTAAGGACCTTTTCTAGAACTTTACATAAAACTGAGGTGACTGCTATTGGCCGATAGTTTGCCGGGTCTGAGCGATCCCCTTTTTTGGGCACCGGTTGCACGTTAGCATCTCTCCAAGTCTCCGGCACACGCCCCAAAGAATACGAGCATTGGTACAAGCGCGTGAGCACGGGAGACAACTCCGCTGCACATTTTTTAAGTACTACTGCTGGGATGCCATCAGGTCCACTAGCTTTCCGGACGTCGAGTGATTGCAACTCAGTACGAACCTCACGCTGCCTGATTTTAATATCAGGCATCGTTGTGCCACAGTGAGGTAATGATGGTGGCAGTGCATTGCAATCATCGATTCGGGAGTTAGCCGCAAAGAGTTTTGCCAGTAAATCGGCTTTCTCCTGCGGCTTATGAGCTAGTGTTCCGTCTGGGCATCTCAGAGGTGGCAGCGAGGGCTGGCAGAAGTTTTTTTGCACGGCCTTGGCCAAACGCCAGTAGCTACGGGAGCCCGCAGGATGCGTTATAAGTTCCTGGCCAACACGTGCAACACGCTGGGCATCCGCTCTGATGTAAGCCTTCTTACAGGCCTTGGAAGCAGAATTGTAGGCTGCTTTGAGTGAATCGACCCCGGGATCCTTGAGAGCGCGGCCTCTGATCCAAGCACGATATGCCGCTTGCTTACGCGAAGCAGCTTCAGCACAGTCGTGATTGAACCAGAGGTTACGTGTGCCCTTACTGATGAGATCAGAATGAGGAATATAGTATTCCATACCCATTATGATCTCCTCAGTAATGGCAACGGCACTGCCCGATAGGTCCCTGTCACTGAAGCAGCGCTGCTTCCAAGGGACGGACGCAAAGTAATCACGCATACCGTCCCAATCTGCCGACCCATAATGCCAGATACGGCGCTTGACCACAGCTGGACGCGGAGGCTTGGCCTGTGGTGCTTTGGCAGATATCAGGCAGTGGTCGGACGAGCCCAGGGGGGCTCTTACCACAACCTGATAGCCCTGTGGATGGGTCGTGAGCAGAAGGTCCAGTAAAGAAGGCGCTTGACTTGGAATATCTGGGATCCTGGTGGGCTGATCAACCAGTTGCTTCAAGTCATGCGTGAGAGCGAATGTGTGAGCAGAGATCCCTGCATGGTCAGTTTTGGAAGAACTTAACCACAAATTGTGGTGAGCATTAAAGTCCCCCAAAAACACCAATTCTGCATTGGGAAATCGCTCCTGCGCGTCATCTGCTGCCCGACTAAGGTGTTCAAAAAGTCGAGTTGTCTCAACATCGCCGGTGTGGGATCTGTAGAGGCACACGTAGACTCTGGCCCGGGGGCCAGAGTCGACGTGTACCCCCAGCATGGAGAAGGAGGGATCTTCCAAGCAGCGGAGACGGCGACAACAAACATCCGCCCGAACATACAGGCATACACCGGCTTTCGCTTTGAAGGACTCTTCAAGCACGTAGCCGGGATAATTAAGGTAGCCTGTGTCAGCAGGCGGAAGTATTTGTGTCTCCGTCAGGAACAACAATGCTGGCCGTGCTGTCTCGAGATGGTGGTGGACAGCGTTGAGGTTAGAGTGGAGTCCGCGTATGTTGCAGAACTCGACCTCAAACAGCGTTGAAGGCGTGGGGGTGTGCACCGCTGTACGTCCAAACTTTGTTATTGCGGCTGCCATGGTGGAAGTGAAAAAAAAAGAGACGCGAAAACGAGCGGACGCCGTCGCGAAGAGTCCGGGCAAATAAGGGGGGTTTGTCTTCCCGATTGACTGCCTGCAGTGGAGATGCGCCGACCCGCCGGACGGAAGGGCCCCCGCACCCCCCCGGGTGTGGCCGCCGGGACCCCACGCCCCGGTCACCAACCGGCACGACGATCCACCCCGAGATTATGCGTGACATGATGGGGCAGCCTCGCGAACTGGTTAGGAACGCTTGGGCCCCTGTACTGTGCCACGGGCGGCCAGCGGGACAGCCGTTTCTACGGGTCTCCCTGGCCGACGGGTCGATGCAGTCCTCCCGGCATCGGTTCCACGGATGCCTCCCCTGGACCGAATCCTTCGCGACAACTTCCACTCGAGCTCTGGTTGTACGCTGGCTGACCCCGAAACGCGCGAGAAGCACTTCACGGGTTTTTCACCATGCGCACGGTGGTAACAAACCAGGCGGGTGTTAGGCACCCTACCACCAGAAGAGCGGATGGAAGCTCCGACATCCCTTAGTCGCTTCTTACGACACCCACGGGAAGAAAAGGGGCGGTGAGTTGTATTCTTTCTCCGTCACCGCACGGATAAACGTTTTTAACATAGTTATAGGAACTATGTTAAAAACTATTTAATATACTATTAAATCACTATTAAGATACAATTTTATGTTAGCTTAGAGGAATCGGCATTTGGTTTTCAAAGTTTAAGTGTGTACAGATATTTAGATATCAGGAAATTATACTTGTATGCTGCTTAATTAACGCATTTATAAAAGTGGTAGAGCATATTGGATGCATGAAAATGATAATCAAAATTTGTATACATCATTTAATGTTATATAAAGTTTGTGTATAATGATGGTCAGTGCATTTACCCGGATAGCGAAGGGTGCGAGTTCGAGTCCCATCTGCTGCCTCCGCGTGAAATTTCTTCTAATTAAATTTTCTTTGTATCTGTTTCTATATTTTTTTAAACTATCTTTTTTGTGTCAATACACAAGCATATCAAAACAACTGCATTGTCTTCTAGATTTGCTTTCTGAATTTCTATTTAACAATAAGTTAGAGTTTCTATACGTTTTGTGTTCAAATAAATCTATTTCTATAATGTGTGACCCTAAATCTCTCCATTGAGCTGAGCGGGTCGAGAAATTCCTATAAATCAATTAGAGAGTTTCGGAAGATTATAGGATTATTTGGCTCCGACATGTACTTACTGAACTGACCTTTTCCCATGTGTACTTAAGCATTAAGGCTGAACCTTCTCCGATAATCTGTGGCATCCGATGAATTTCTTTTGATGATCTATTTATATCACGAC